GTTGCAATTGGAATCAATATTGGCACCTCTCAATGTAGTGTGGCAGTTTGGAATCGCTTTGAGGTGGAGCTCCTCAGCAATAATCAAGACCTGAAGATGAAATCATTTGTTTCGTTTAAAGATAAGAATCATTCTAAAAGTGGTGTAACCAGTCCACTAGCTAACGAGGACGAGTTGTTTTCTGGCTCTGTCATTTACAATATCAAACGTCTACTTTGTATACCTGACACAGACCCTGCAGTTCATCAGAGTAAATATCCATTTTTAAGGAAGAAATAATTTAAAATACGACGGGTCACCTCTTTCACTCAATGAGTATGTTCTCTACAGATTTTCGAAGAATAAGAAATACGAGGTTGCTTCGAGCTACGACTCATGATGCGATCTACAATCTGCCGGACCAATCTAGTGTTGAGATGAAGGTTGGCCTATGCCGTGGGAAAAAAATGCTTAAGGTCCTTAAGAGAGAATTTAGAAGATGTAAACCATGGTGTGTTTAAGAAATGCGAAGATCTAATCTTTAAATACTTATATGATGCGAAAATAAAAGTTAGTAGACTAAATGCCATCATTCTTGTTGGTGGTTGCTCAAAAATTTCAACGATACAGGAGATGGTTACGAAGATATGTGACAAGACACTATACTTGTGAATAAACCCGCTAAAGGGTGCAGTCCAAGGGACACCACTGGAAGGTGCAATTGCTTCAGGCATCGAAAATTTGCACTTATCAAGGATTGGAGCTACTCTAATGAGTATTAAAATTCATGCAGAAAATAAGATTTTTCTTATTATTCCCAGAAATACAAGTTATTAGCAAGAGAAACCATGTCCTTCACAATATATCAAACTAACGAAGAAAAAACATTGATAATTGTCTACGAGGAAGATGCTAAAAAAAAATCATTTGATGAGGGATTTTATGATTGCCGGGTTCCCTTCGCTCCAACATGCAGGTCCTCATTATCCTCTTATTCATGTGTGCATCATCGTGGATGTTTCGAATGCGGTGAAAGTTTTCACGAATGTTACCCTCAAAGGTTTTCCTATGGAAGTAAGGATGCCAAATTTTGATGGTGGCCATGGTCTGTGGGCTGAAAACTTGTCCCACAGTTATGGTTAGGAGTGGGCAAAACTCAAATCAACCCGAGTAAACCAACCGGTTTGGGTCGGTTTTTTGGGTGGGGGTTGGGTAGTCGGGTTATGGGTTAAGAATCCAAACCCGATCTAAACCGACCCGATACATTTAAAAAACAAAACGACTTTAAATTGAAAAACAAAACCCTAAGACCCAAATCGCCTTCACGCTCTCTCCATCCTTCACTCTCGGCGTCGCCTCAAAGCCAAATCTCGCCAGTCAATTTCTCTCAATCGCCGACGGAGATCATCTGAGTGGTAATTGGAGACGGGAATAAGAATATAATGTATATACTACTCGGGCACTATACTTGGGAATAAACCCACATCGATCACTAAGGGAGCAATCAGTGGCATGTCACCCGTGTTTAGTGATTGCATCAAAAATGGATATTTGCTTTGATGAACTGCAGGGTCTATGTCGGGTATAAAAAGTAGACGTTTGATATTGTAAATGACAGAGCCAGAAAACAACTCATCCTCGTTAGCTAGTGGACTGGTTACACCACTTTTAGGATGATTCTTATCTTTAAACGAAACAAATGATTTCATCATCTTCAGGTCTTGATCCTTTTCAGGTAGTATGATCCTTCTCTTCCACTTTAAACCCTATATTCACTACAAAATTATATTCAATTTGAGGGATATTGACAATCTTCAAACGATGTCTCGAAACATACTAGTAACTGGGGGAGCAGGGTACATTGGGAGTCACAAGGTGTTGTAATTGCTGCTGGGTTGGTATAAGGCCATGGTTGTCTACAATTCTTCCGAAACTGCCATCAACAGAGTTCGAGAGCTCGCTAGTAAATATGTCTCCAACCTCATTTTCCACCAGGTACTTTTCTGTCATTTGCCTCCTGTACTTCTTGCAAAACTTGTTTACGAGTATTGGATTTTTGGCACAAGGATTTTATTTTTTATCGACTTTGTCAAAAAAATAAAAAAGAAAAACCTCAATTTATCTTGATAGGTGTTTAATATGTATTCATTGATTAGTTTGTTTTAAAATATTCTCTATTCTTGGTTGTGTTGATAATGAACCTGTGGAATTCGATAGTGTGCAAAGATTTGGTTTTTTTACATTTTTTGAGTTAATTTTACTAGTGTGGAGATGCCTTACATGCTTTTGATCTCATCCTCAGTTGCTGATTTGTTGATTTTAATTTGACTGCAGATGGATCTTCGGGATAAGCCTGCACTTGACAAGCTTTTTGCTTCTCAAACGTAAGTTTCTGCGGCATCATTCTGATTATTTGTTGAACCTCAGTTTTTATTAATTAATTTTAGCCCTCATTTTTATTGTTTATTTTCTTTAAGGGGATAAAATAAAAAATTTAGTCCTCAAGGTTTATTGTTTCAATTTTTATCATGTTTTCTTCTTTTTGTAATATTAATATACTTGTGCTCTTTAAGGGGATAATGGTAAGGTATTTGCCATCCAAACTGCAAGTTAAGAATGCTTTTATTTTTTAAATTTTGTCAACTAAGCATGACTCAGTGTCTTAGTATTGATTTTATTTTTTGTTTTTTTCGTGTCTTTCCGAGTTCTCATTTTACTTTCTGCAACTGTATCATGTAATGTTCAAGTTCATAGTACGATATCTTAAAATTGAATGGCTATGTCAATGGTTTTTCAGGTGATAGGTCCAATACCTGGTTGTTGAACCATCTTCATTTACTTTATTTCTCAGAAGCAAGAAATGTTTATTTCTCTTGTGTTAGTGTTTAGTGCACGCAGATTGGAATTCTTTGGTTAGCTGATTGTTACGGTAGATTAGCTTCTTCTTAGGTGACGGGAGAAAAGCCTCGAAACATAAAATTACCTCATATCACAGCATTATTTGTAAAACAGTGGAAATGTCACGAAATGCTTCTTTCTCTGTTTTGTAATGTCACAAATTTGTACCAAACTGACCAACCCAACCCGACCGATACTTGATTGGGTTGGGTTGGATTTTAACATTTACATGGGTTGAGTTTGGTTAAATTTTGATCAACTCGATCATGCTGGGTTAGGTTTGGGTTAAGGCAAAAATTGATCCAACCCAACCCATTTCAGATTTGGTCCGCTGTCCTGTGCCCAAATCACTACAGGTACTTTAGATTTGGTCAGAGGTACAGCATTTACTTTTGGAATTTTTGTATGTTTCTAGATACATTGTTTTTGATGCATCGATCAAATCCCATCATAATAAACGGCTACTGCAATTTTTCAGATTTCTACATCAGATTTTTCAGTTAGGTGACACTGAGAATTTATTCTTATCTTATGTTGTAACTTCTATAACGTAGGCATATTCATTTGTCTGCTCACAGTTTCATTTATTCAATTAAATATATTATACCTGCATATTTCTAATACTATTTACATAATAATATTTGTTAGCTTAATAACAGGAGATTCTAAAGAATTGTTGGCTTAATGACAAGTAGAACATATATAGGCCCTGTTTGATCCACCTTTTTGTAGAATGAGAATGAAAAATATAGTCGTTATTGGGGCTCACACAAGAGATGAAAATTTTGAATTTAAATGTTGATGTGATGGATAACGGTCATATTTTTCATTTTAATGAGATAAAAATGTGGCCCAAATGGGGGCATATTTGATATATTTTTAGTGTAAGATATAATTTCAAAATATAATTATAAGGTGGCTGCAAAATATACTTTCAAAATTAAGAAATGAGATTTATTATTTCAAAAATTAGGTCTTGACTAAATATATCGAGGTCATAACATTGTATAATTTATAGTTAAAGCTACGTACTAGTCACAATTATATACGTTACAGTGTCAAATCACAATTTTTTGAAGTCACAATTTATTTCTCGATCACAGTTATCAAATTAATTGGTCACATTAATTCTCGATCACAAATCACAAATTTTAGAGGTCACAATTTCTTGTATGTCACAAATTAATAGATCGTATATTATTCCTCGATTATAAATCACAAATTTTACGAACCATTTACGTTGCAAGTGGGTGCCGAGCCGAGTCCACGAGCCCAGCTCGTGGGCTGAGCCAAGTTTCAGCTTGCGAGCTCGTTATTTAAAAAAAAAATTAAACTCTCATCCTTTATCCAGATTATCGACGTCATAAGAGACGACGTTTGGACTGTCATCAGTTTATGAAATTATATATCAGTAAATGTTATCTTTTGATTATGTAATTATAGAGATGTATTACCAAGATGTTGTGTTTTCGTTGTTCTATAATAAAATCTAGTTATATAATCTAAGAAAAGATCGGCTTTTTACTCTAATTGATAGAGATGTATTAGGGGTGTGTCTGGTCCGGATTCAGCCTGAATTATAAGCAAAACTGTTACTGTTGCTAACCCATTACCTTCATGTATTAAATGCTGGCAGACCACCTTGTCAGTAGTGGCATAATGAGTCAGGTCCGGAAATCCCATTGTTGCCAAATGTTTTATTTTCAGTACATTACCAGGAGAAATTCACTTGAGGGCAATTTCGATACTGGGCCATATTTTCTGCCACAAATCTATCACGTGGGCGCGATTGATTTTCAGCAAAAATCGATTTTCCAAGGCAAAAACCGGGACTAGACACGCCCTAGATATTATGGCATTTGATAATTTTAAGTTTATTTTCTTATACCTACTCTTGAGTTCGATTTTAAACGGTGTGATTGATCCAATATCACAAAGAAATTTATGATATTACCTATAAATTGTAGATACAAAATGTTAGAAGGTGTTCTCAATTGAAATTTCAATGGATTTTAAAATTCCATATAAATCTTTGGTTCTATTCAAATTCACGAAATTTATGAGAGAACTCATCATCTTTCAAAATCCCTTAAAACCCCAGCACAGAACGCCGTCTCAAAATATATCATTTTACATGTGTAATTTGTTCAATATATTCTATATAATTTGTAATTTTCATAAAATTTTAGTCCTTTAAATATTGTTATGGGTTTTCTATATATTTGTTAGGAAAATTACCTAAAGACCCTACATCTCAAGTGTACTATTCAAAAGTAAGGTGGTATACTTTTAAGTTCACAAATCAAGTGAAAAAATAAATTTTTAATGTTAAAAATTTATATTAATTTACATACCCAAACCACTTCTACCCGCATCGCCACACCCCACTAACCCTAATTATTTTCATATTCTCGTCTCTCTCTTTTTATCACATCCAATTTTCTTATGTGACGGCGGAGGATGGTCGCAGTCGGTGCGCCTTAGCCGACAATCCACGCTGCATCGTTCACGTTCATTGTGCGTGATGATTCGCACAGCGATCGTGCTTCATCCAGTGTTGTTGCGTGGCACTTTGAACGGCGACGTTGCTTCGGGAGTGTCGCATAAGGATGGCAAAAAAGTTCGGATGGCCCGTACGAGCTGCCTATTAAAAAAAATTAAATTAATTGCTTGTTTGAGAGAGATTTTTGGAGGAATAATTGATTTTGAATAGTGATATGATGGGAAATGTATGGTTGAATGTGATGCAAAATATTATTTTATTAAAAAATATGTAGTTGAAAATGAGAATTGATTTACTGTAGAATTTCGAGAATCCCTCCCAAACAGTGCCTAAATAAAGTTAGCTATTGTGATAAATTTTACACACAATAGCACGTAACTTGTCAAAAATTTTAAAATTTGACTACTCATTTGTCTAGTTAAAAAATTTAAAATTTGAATTTGAAATTTAAATATAGTTAAAATGGATATATTTTTTTTTGGCTATAAATACGGGAACAAATTTTATAACTTCATATCAATTTATTTCAATCTATCTCTAATTTATTTACTCAATATTCAGTATTCTAGTCTCCAATTTCTTTACTCCGATCTTTAATTTAGATATTTAGTTGTGTTATACTTTCAATTTCAATCTCTAATTTCTTTATTCAATCTTATTTAGTTTCTTTTAGTCTATTATTCAGTATTCTTTACTATAATACCTATAAAATGGATTTTATTAGTGATGAGATTAATCAATT